CCACACCGGGCCAGGCCCCACTTGCCTCAGGCGCCCTGCCCTGAGTGGGTTGCCCCATACCTGAGTGGGGTTGCTCATTTCAGGGCAACTGTCACAGGCGTCCCCAACACCATCCTCATCCCGGTCCGTCTGCAGAGGGTTGGGCACCTTGGGGCAGTTATCCAGCATGTTGGGAATCCCTGCGAGGACAGCACTGGGTGGTGGATGCCCTTCCCCAACACACTGGGACAGCCCCCCTGGCACAACCAGGCCACCCCAGTAGCCACTCACCGTCCCCATCGATGTCGTTGTCACAAGCGTCCCCCTCGCCGTTGCTGTCCGTGTCCCGCTGGTCATTGTTGGGCACGTTGGGGCAGTTGTCACAGGCATCCCCGAAGGAGTCGGTGTCCGAGTTCTGCTGGTCTTTGTTGGGGAAGAGCCGGCAGTTGTCCTGCGGGGAAGAGGACAGGGATGCTGCTGCTGCTGTGGTGGCTCACAGACAAGAGGCCACAGTCCCCCAGTGGTCAGGGTAGGAGGATGTCTCCAGCATGCTGAGCCACCAGCCTGTTGCTCCCCAAGAGAAGCATCTTGAGGGACTCAGGCCTGAGCCAAAAGGAGAAGCTCTCCCAGAGCCACCATCACAGCCACCCCCCCAGCACAGCCACCTCCACGTTCTTGACGCCATCGCCATCAGCGTCATCATCACACTGGTCCCCAATGCCGTCGTTGTCGGCATCCTCCTGCCCGGAATTGGGCGTCAGGCGGCAGTTGTCCTGCGGGGAAGGGGAGGAGATGAGGTCTGGAGCACAGCTCTGCTGTAGCCCCTGCACCCCACACCCCCTGTGCCCCCTCCAGGAGCCCACCTGCTTGCAGTGCTTGTTGTTGTCAATGCAGGGCAGGGGCTCGTCCGGGTAACCGTCCAGGTCCGTGTCTGGCCCACACACATTGCCATTGCCAGCCCAGCCCACGTTGCACTGAAGAAAAGAGACCAGGGGCTGGGAAGGGCCCTGGCAGGACCAATGGTGCCCCTGCCATAACCCCCATGCCCCCTGCCAGCCCTGTCCCCCGCTCACCGCACAGGAGATCTCCCCGTTTCTCTCGAACAAGCAGAAGCCGTTGATGTCGCAGGGGTTGGTGGTGGTGGTGCTGCAGGACTTTTGGGGGACGCAGCCCGACGTTTGGTTCCCCGCAAAGCCCGACTTGCAGGGACCACACTTGAAGGAGCCCTGGAGGGGGAGAGAGGGCAGGGGCGGGATGAGGGGAGCTGGGTGGCCCCGGGAGCCAGGGAGGGAGCGGGACAGCGCTGCTCACCAGCGTGTTGGTGCAGATGGAGTTGGGGTCGCAGCCGCCGTTGTTCCCATCGTTGCATTCATCAATATCCGTGCAAACCTGCGAGCAGTGTGGGAGAAACCCTCACCTGGGGCCTTCCCCTGCCCATTCCTGCCCCCCTGGGAAGTTGCCCTCCTCACAGGCAGTGCCCCACACTCTGGAGTACCCACGGGGACCCGGCGGAGTCCTGTGGCACCTCACTCACCTGCTTGCTGGCCTTGGCATAGTCCACCCCCACACCAGAGACGGTGTTGCCTCGATAGCCACGGGGACAAGGCTCACAGCGGAACCCAGGGGACGTGTTGATGCACTTGGAGCCAGGGAAGCAGGGGTTGGCATGGGCACACTGCAGCACCGGGAAGAGAGACCGGCTTCACCCTCGGGCACAGCATCGGGGTGGCTGCTGCTGTCCCAGCAGGGCCTTTCCTGAGAGGAAGCATCCTCTGCCTGCACTGCCCCGGCAGTGCTGGGGCTGCTGGTCTCCCCAGAGCGTGCCCACCTCCTCGATGTCGGTGCAGTGCGTGCCGTTGCCCTCCAGCCCCGGTGGGCAGGGCCCGCAGCGGTACCCGGGGTACTCGTACGTCTCCATGCAGTCCACCCCGCTGAAGCAGGGGTTGGGGTTGCAGCGGGACCGTTGCTCGTGGAAGCCTGAGGGGAGGACAGGCAGATGAGGGGTGAGACAAGGCGGCCCTTTGTGCCCCCCTGAGGTGGGGGCAGAGCCTCGCCAGCACTCACCGCAGACCTGGCACTCCATGATGGTGTTGCGGATCAGAGACATCTCCTTCACCTGCAAGGCAGCAGAGCGTGGAGCATCAGGGGGTGCTGGCACCGTGCTCTAGGCAAATCCGGCCCAGGGAGGGCTGGTACCCCCCCACTGTCCCACCTGGTCCCTAATGTCTTCCCGCAGCTCCGACAGGACCCGGTTGAAGAGGGTCAGCTGCGTGACCAGCGCCTTGGTCTGCTCACCTGCCAGCAGCAGAAAGGACAGGGTCAATCCCAGGACAGACACAGCCCCCTGGGGACATAGGCCAGGACTGCTCTGCCCACCAGCACTGAGCTGGGAGGACAAGGCAGTTGACAGCCTGTTCTCCTCCCTGGTTCACACAGGATCTCTTTCCCCATAACACAACCCGTGCCTTTTGATGCACCCTATGTGGGGCACTGGGACAGGCTGTGGAAGGGTTTCTGCCTCTGTGGAGCCCCAAATGCCTCAGGCCAGGGAATGGGGAGAGCAGAGCAGGGACTCACCCAGGATGGAGGCCAGCACACTCGTCACTGCAAGGAGAGAGACAAGATGTTACCAAATGCTGCCATCACACCCCGGCAGCATCACCTCACACAGTCACTCCCGGTCAGCACGTGAGCAGCGCTGGAGCTCCCACCTGTGTGGGGACCCTGGGCCAGGAGAGGCAGGAGCACCCGTCCGTGCTGTCACCCCCCACCTCCCTGTCCCACAGCACGCACAGGTGACCCCGTAAGCCCCCCAAGCCATTACCTGCACTGTGAATGGACTCATCTCCTTGGAAAGGGCACTCACTCAGGGCCCCCACACGGCTCATGGACCCGCCCAAGATCAGCTTCATGGACTCCACGAACCCCTGATGTACGTGGGGAGATACAGCCAGTGTGGGGGGGCTCTGCCGATCTCCAAGGGCACGGTGGTGGGGGTCTCGGTCCCCCCAGCACTCACCTGCATCCTCTGGTAGGCCTTCTGCCCCGTGCGCACCTCGATGGCCTCCACCTCGGCCAGGGGGATCTCGGACAGCTCGGGCAGCCCCACGCTGGAGTCCATCTGCTTGCAGTCGACGTAGAGCTCCACGCTCAGCGTGTCCCTGCGCAGCCCGCTCAGGCGCACGATGATGGAGTGGCTCTGCCCGTCCGCCACGTGCGCGTGCTGCAGGTTGACCGAGTGCACCTTGTTGTCCTCCCGCAGGTACCGCACCAGGACTGCGGAGGAGCGGGGAGGGGCCGTCAGCTCCCCCCGGCACCGGCAGCACCCCGGGACCAGCAGGCACCCACTGCTGCTCCCCGTGAGCCCCTTGGACGGCAGGAACTCAGTCCTGTTTCCTTCAGAGCACTGGGGCAGGAGCAGGACCAGCCCATCCCCACACATGGGGCACCCACCCACCTTTGTTGATCTTCCCCACGACCGAGACCTCCAGCCACCGCGTGTTGTCCTTCTTGGAGTAGAGGCCGAAGAGGGTCCCCCCCTGCTTGGGGGGCAGGCGGAAGGTGGACAGGAGGTACACGTCGTTGACGGTCAGGAGCTCCATGCGGATCTTGTGGGCCACGCTGGCCATCTGCCGCACCTCGCTCACCAGCAGCAGGTCAATGACTGCGGGAGCCGAGCACC